AATAAATTTGAAAGCACAAGGAGTAAGAAATGATATTCTAGGTTTCTTCCGGCCCCAACTAGTTGGCATTTAGGGTGACAGGACGAGTGGCAGTCAAGATTTCTGCTTGCTGATGGACGCATTTGGGGCAGCCCCCGGCCCATCCCTCTCTGATCATGTTTTTGCTGGTCCTTGGGTACCAAATCTGGCTCCTTTGGTTTGCTGCCTGGTCACTGCTTTCTGCATCTTTGGATTGGGACTGAAACCTGGAGCTTTTCTCAGTGGAGCTTTTATTTCAAGAAAATTAAAAAGTTTCTCTTTCCTGTTGCCCCTGCCATGTGGTGTGGTGCGTTTTGATGAATTGTATATCTTTTGCTTGGTAGTTGGGTCCTTGGTCCTGCCCTCTCTGCTGGCTTCTGAACCAGTCGTGATCACAAGTTGGAGAATTTAGAAGTCAAGTGTGTTATATCTCAGCTACCCCTTAGGTGGTTATGGCTTCCCTTGGTGCAATAAGAAGCTGTAAGGGATTCCATTAGCCCTCTGATCTGGTGGGGTTTTAATTCCATTTGCTTAGAGCAGGGGGACTCTATGCAAGTGGTGAGTCTAAGTTGTTTGTTCTGAATATATTCAAAGGGTCCAGCCTGCCAGGCATCCTTTTTCTTTTGATGCCCCTAAACAGCATCTTTTGATGCATTTCATTTGGCAGGCAGTTTGTAACACGTCCAGTGATCTGGAAAGAGATAAGTGGTGAATGGAGATGGGGGTTTTCTTATGGCTCTTTTCCTCTGTTTTATTTTTATTTTTATGAATGCAGGAGAGTATATAGCAGGGGGCCCCCGACTTCCCTGATCAAGGGGGCAGCATTTTCCTCTCAATTATATGTCTTTGTGGCAGAGCCTTTGCTTTTGAAGTGTAATCACAGTAATCTACCCCCGTGGTTTCCCATTGAAAGGATTTCCTCTCCGTCTCTCCCAGAGTGGAACCTCTGGCTCTTTGGTATTTCCCATCCTCTGCCTCTTCCTGGGTGCCTGCAGACTGCTGATGCTGGTTTTTCTGTCTTGCATGTAGTAGGGATTTTTTTCTGGTCTGCAATTGCTACTTTGCAATAAAACCGATTAGTGAAGATTTAAGGCCCCCTTCTCTGTTACAAAAGATTGGAAGATGACATTTCATCTATAACTGCAAGTTACAGATCTTTCACAGTGGTTTTAAATGTCAGAAGTGTGAGTTCAGTCCCTGCCCACCTCCCCTCCTAATATGAGCAGATGTTGAACTTTCACATGAGACCAAAGTAATCTGATTGAACTGAATACATTTTAGTTTGCTAAGCTGCGTATTCTCTTGAAGGGAGGGGGTCAGAAATCTCATGTCCAGGAAAAAGTCTTCATTTTTTTTTAAGACTAAGAATTTCTTTAACTTGCATTTATTTTTGGTCTGCAAGGAATTTCTTCTTAATGGAAGAATCCTTGAACCCTTTATTAACTAGCCCCTACATTAGTAACTGTCCTTAATTGGGAGTGCAGTCCCCCTGATATGAGAGAGGAAAAAGTAAGCTGCCTTTAGCCTTTTTGTTTTTTAAGCAGTGTGTTTGTGGACGCCTGTGTAGTTTGATGACCTCTCTGGTTATAGGGTAGCAGCCACGATTCTCCTCAGAAATGTGCTCATTCTTTGACTGCTTGTTCTACCCTCCCTTCTGCTTTTTCAGTCCCATCCCTATTTTCTTCTGCCCTCAGAGTCGTAACCTGGTTTAGGGTTTAGCAGTGCCCCTGATCCTTTGACTCGATGGTTTAATCTAGACTTTCCACCCATGGTATCCTCTACCGCTTCCTAAAGTAAGACAGCCTGGCACATTGAAGTTCCCGAACCCTAGTTCTGCAGATGGGGTCTTGGGGGGGACTTTGAAATAAAATACCTGGTCTCTGACTTCCAAGAACTTAGCCTTGAGAGGTGCAGTCGGTTAGCTGGACGACTAAGTGCTCAACTTGTGCTTGTGACTGGTTTTACAGCAGGACCTTTAGAAATGTGAAAGAGCAGAATGTGCTAAAGAACTGGGAAGTGGCTTCATGTTGAAGGGTTGAGTTTCTGCTGGTGGAAGCCATTGTGGGCAGGAAGGTGGGGCAGGATACAGTTGCATGGAGCTGAACAGTGGAAAGTTTGGCATGAGGCTGAAAAATGTGAAGAACCGGAGCACACTGTGGCAGACTTTAGAGCCAGGCAGAAGCACTATTTATCATTAATGATAATAGCTACTATTCATTCGGTGTTTTAAGTACCAGGCACTGTGTGAAGTGTGTTATGTGCATTTTAGATAAAGAACTGATGTGTTCAGGGTCAAACAGTGATAGAGTTAGGTTTTGAACTCAAGTCTATCGATTTACTATGTTCTTTGCTCTTTTCGTTTGATACAGTACATGACGCAGTAGGTGGGAAGTTTGGAGCTGTTGTTGAACAGGGAGAAGTGCAGATGATTTGTGAGTGTTCTAAAACTGCAGTCCAGTATGATAGCCACCAGCTACGTGTGGTTATTTGAATTTAATTAAAAGTAAATAAAAATAATTCAGTTCCTCAGTCACTCTAGGCATATTTGAAGTACTTAATAGTTATATAACACAGAACGTTTTATTGGGTGTGTTTCTCTAGATCACTGGTTCTCAGCTAGTAATATATATTAGAACTGGGGAATTTCCTGGCCGTCCAGTGATGAGGACTTGGTGCTTTCACTGCTGTGGCCTGGGTCCAATCCCTGGTTAAGAAATTAAGACTAAGGTCACTCAAGCTGTGCATCTCAGTGTGCATGTGCAGTCTAATATGCACATACTGGAATCATCCAGGGATCTTAGGGGATTCGAGGGGAGGGAGCCCAAGGCTTTCTGGACCCACTAAGTTGAAATCTCGAGGGACAGGCCCAGGCATTTGTGAAGCTTCACAGAAAACTCTGATCTGTAGCCCTGGTTAATAGCTGCTGCTCTAGAAGCTTCATAGTAACCATGGTAGTGACTGCCCCTTGTGTGTTGGGGAGACCTGGACTGACAGAGATACCCAGAGTGGGCTGGTCTCTGTTCAGCAAATGTAGTCTCTTCACCTGGGGGCCACATGGAAAGCAGCTGCAGTCTAGGATAAAATGGGAATCTCCTTGTCATCTGCAGCATGATGTGGCTGTGTAAGGCCCAGAGTCCTTGTAAGAGAGAATGGTGGTATTCTGGATCCATTGCCAGGTGTATCTGGGTGTATCATGTGATCTTCTCACATGATATTTATTACTCACTGGTGCAGTTGTTGAATTTGAATTTCCCAAAAGAATGCATGTAGCTCCAAAATTATGATCGGAAATGTTGTTGGAGCTTCTGATACCGAGGCTGGACTGGGCAAAATTGTTCAGTTATGGTTGTTGGAAAGAGCATTTTAATAATACGGATATGTAATAGTGATTTGGGACATGGTTTTACTATGATTCTCATAGCTTAGAAACTTGGAGAGTATTCTCATGATCCGTGTTACTTTTAAGGCTGAGATTTGAGAGAGCTTTGCTTCTGCTTTTTTTCTGTTGATATTTAGAGGAATAGTCTCTGTGGCTTTTTAATCTTAGCTATTTTCTTCAAGACTCCTCAACTTCCTCTATCATAAAACACTTAGGTGTAGTATGCTACCAAAAAATAAAGGGGGATACGTACAGAGAACCAATTACTTGAGTGCCCTCCCCTTATTTTTGAGGGTTTTTTCTTTTTTTTTAAGGCTAAAGTAATGTATTAATTAGAGAATAATAGAACCAGAAGGGACCCGTGGTGTCATCTCCGTCAGTGGTTCTCAGTGTGGTGGTCCCTGGACCAGCAATGTCAGCATCACCTGAACACTGTTATAAATGCACATCCTAGGCCCAGCCCTGAACCTCCAGAATCAGACTTGGGGAGTAGGTTCCAGCAGTGTGCATTTTAACCAGCCCTCCAGGTGATTCTGAAAGTATTCTAAAGTTTGAGAACCTCTGAATTCCGTAATTTGAAGTTACTGATATTCAGGTCCATGGTATTAGTATCTGCTACCCACCCCCAATTTAAGATTCAGTTTTCAAGTTTTATGTCAGGTCCAGGCCTGCTCTGCAACCAGTGTGTACCTAGTTAAGTGCTTGGAGACACTCCCTCCTCGCCTTCTCACCCCTAGTAGACATGGTTGGGTGTCTTGGGGAGGGGAAAGTGTGCCAGGGCTCTGTTCTATGCAGCTCCAGTAAGGTAAAGTGGGGTCAGAAAATGAATGAGTTGATTGATCGTGTTGCACCGTAAAGAGCTGAAAGTTATGTTTGTAGCCAAATACCTATGAATTGAACTCTCATTATTGGTACCTCTGTATCTTGCTCTTTAAAGAGATGTAAGTTCTACCCGCCTTGCCACTCTCAAGGAGGTGAACTTGTCAGTTGAGTTGTACAAGGCTCTTAAGTAAATTCATGGTCACAATTCCCTCAGCAACAGTAACTTAACTGTGTTACCCATTTGGAAGAAAGCATAGATTTAAGTGCTTGTGCCATAGTACAAATGGGCTACTGATTTGCAAGGAAATAAGATTTCACCATTTAAAGACTAAAAACATCTAGATGCTTGTATATTTAATTTACCAACCACAGTGTTGAAGCATCAGTTTTGGTATTACTGAACAAGATCATGGCAGAGTATAGTGACACCAACCCCTCCCAACTAAAGGGCCTGTGTTCTTGTTTTCTATACCATAGAGTCCATGTATTCATTGCTCTGTACCTGGCCTGTTCCTTGGGTCTCAAGTAGTACCATAGTTATAAGGTAGAATATAGCTTACAAGATGCTTTCATAAACGGGTGGTGTTTCTCTTTCACATATGACAAAATCCAGTTCTGAAGAAGGTTAAATGACTTGTCCAAGGGTTACTGGGTATATACCATTACTTTTTCATAGTAACTGTCTTCCTCTATGGTATACAGACTTGTATGCCTAGGTTGTGTTCATATTGGCCAGAGGCCATCAAAACTTCAGGTTAATGAAATGCTCTTTATTTTGTAGCCATCCAGTCCAATGGATCAGATGGGCAAGATGAGACCTCAGCCATATGGCGGGACTAACCCATACTCGCAACAACAGGGACCTCCATCAGGACCGCAGCAAGGACATGGGTACCCAGGGCAGCCATATGGGTCCCAGACCCCACAGCGGTACCCGATGACCATGCAGGGCCGAGCGCAGAGTACCATGGGCGGCCTCTCTTATGCACAGCAGGTAGATGGTGACTCCAATGACCTTAATCCTTGTTGCTGTCCAAGATCTAGTCTTGAGCTGTAGGATCAGAATGTGTCTTTGGTTTCTAAACCCCTTGAAAGGAACATAGGCCAGCTGACTCAATTTCAGTCTGCTACGTACAGGGCCGAGGTTGTGGTCATCATAGCATGTATACTTGAAGGAAAACTGCTCCCTGGCCACTTGCTATACATAGCTGTCTTCTTTGACCTGGCTGGCCTGCTTGTATCCACTGTGTGGCTATCTCTGAAGGAGGTAGAAAGAAAGAAAAAGGCAGTAGCTGAACACCAATCCACTGCTACCAAGAAAAACCACTCGTACCATGTGTCCTGGGGAGAGAAGTGTTAGTTGCTCAGTCGTGTCCAACTCTTTGCAGCCCCATGGACTGTAGCCCGCCAGGCTCCTCTGTCCATGGAATTCTCCAGGCAAGAATACTGGAGTGGGTTGCCATTTTCCTCCTCCAGGGGCTCTCCTGACCCAGGGATGAAACCCAGGTCTCCTGCACTGTAGGCAGATTCCTTACCGTCTGAGCCGCCTGGAAAGACGAGGGGAGAAGAGGCCTTTTGTATTTCTCAAGGCCTTCAACACACAGCTGTTTGGTTTGCAGTGAATACGTAGAAGAGACTGGGAGTGGCAGGGAAGGGGAGATTGAACAGTAAAGGTGCTGACGGTGCTATTACAAGCATTAAGATTCTACTCATCTCCTTCGGTCTGACCATCCGCACCATCATCTTTTTATCACCATTTTTTTTGTTTGTTTTGACAGCATTTTCTATCATTTATATGTGAGTTGAAAATGGTGTGAGGACTAGAATATTAAACCTAACTTTACTTCTAAGACTGTGAAGCAAAGTATGCCCTTAAATATAATTGCCTTTTTTTCCCCCCACTGAGAAAATAGAGGAGATTTGGGGTAAATATTGGTCTTTTTTCTTTCCTAGTTGGCCAGATGTATCCCTCGTGCCTAGAATAGTGCCTGGTACAAGTAAGCAAGTAGGCTCTCAGATACTTTATGAATAAAGACAAAGTGAAAAAGAGAACCAGAGTAGTTCAGTCATTGGCATACCATCTAGACTACTAAATCCCAGGTTTTCAGTTGACTGAGCCAGTCTGCTGGTGACTCTTCATTGTGGCTAGGATACAGATTCCTAGCGCTTATAAAAACAGTTTAGGCCATGATAAAAAAGAGTAGTCTCATTGGTGAAGACAGCTGTTCTTGAACTCTTGTAAGTTGCCCAAATTTTTATTAAACAGTGTAAATTTTCCATGGATGAATGTCGTCCATCTGTAAACAAACCAACCTTGTAACCCAGCTTGGCTGAGCCTCCTGGCTCAGTTTAACAGGGTTGGTAGAAAAACCCTGGGCCTTCCAAGTGTGAGGCTTGGCTTGCCTGCTTTCTGTACCCATCTTCAGGGCATAGCTTCTGGCAGAATACCTCACGTTTCTTCATTCAGAAGTGTCAGTGCTAAAAGTATCCTTTCCTTTTACAGATTCCTCCTTATGGACAGCAAGGCCCCAGCGGGTATGGTCAGCAGGGCCAGACTCCGTATTACAACCAGCAAAGTCCTCACCCCCAGCAACAGCAGCCGCCCTATTCCCAGCAGCCACCGTCCCAGACCCCCCATGCCCAGCCTTCGTATCAGCAGCAGCCTCAGTCTCAGCCACCGCAGCTCCAGTCCTCTCAGCCTCCGTACTCCCAGCAGCCATCCCAGCCTCCCCATCAGCCGTCCCCGACTCCATACCCCTCCCAGCAGTCCAGCACCCAGCAGCACCCCCAGAGCCAGCCCCCCTACTCACAGCCGCAGGCACAGTCTCCTTACCAGCAGCAGCAACCTCAGCAGCCAGCATCCTCGACGCTTTCCCAGCAGGCTGCGTACCCTCAGCCCCAGTCTCAGCAGTCACAGCAAACTGCCTACTCCCAGCAGCGCTTCCCTCCACCGCAGGTAAGATGCGTCCTCCCTCCATGTGACCGCAGACTTTGGGGGTTGGTGTCATGAGAACTTTGCCACACAAATTGGTTCTCTAACTGAACTAGCTGCATAAAAACTTGTAGCTCTCTTTACTAATAGGGCAGTGGAAAGTTGCATAGACAGACAAGAATAAAAGATAATGGACTAGTTTTTGTTTGTTTTTTTTTAAACTGAGCATTCAGAACTTGAGCATCCAAGTGAGTTTGGTCTTTTTTAAAACAGTCACTTTGGGAGACTGTACTGTACTTCCATGCAGCTGCCATTCTGTTCTGCTATTACTCAAAATATTTTGGACCCCTTCATTTGACATTGCTATCAGGGCTGATATAACATTCTTTAGAATATTCTTAGTGGTGAAAGTGAAAGTCGCTCAGTCGTGTCCAACTCTTTGCGATCCCATGGACTGTAGCCTGCCAGGCTCCTCTGCCCATGGAATTCTCCAGGCAAGAAAACTGGAGTAGGTAGCCATTCCCTTCTCCAGGAGATCTTCCCAACCCAGGGATTGAACCTCGGTCTCCTGGCACATTGCAGGCAGATTCTTCACCAACTAAGCCACCAGGGAAGCCCGTTCAAAGTTGTAGCAAATACTTTTATTTTTTTTGAGAGTGAATTTTGGGAAATAGCTAAAATTCATTTGTAGCAATGTCTATGAACAAGTTAGGTGATAAAAGTCTGAAAATAACAATTTGGCCTTTATTCTCTAAAGAGCAAAAAGGAGAAATGACTGAATGATGACAAGTCCCCTAAAGATTTTGTTCATTGGTGGCATTGTTGGAGTCTCATCCCAGGCCAGTGCCTTTAAAGGAAGCAATACTCATTTTAATGCAGAGGTTCTAATATGAGTTTTTTGTTGGTGTTTTGAAATCAGTTGGTCTCTTTCCTTGATAGATACAATTAGTAGTTAGCTAGATTTGAGCCTTTATTCCCAAAGAACAGTTTTCTGTCGGTGGTGATAAATGGTCAGCAGTGCCATCAGAGAGTCTTATGTCCACTGTTGACTTTTTTTTTTTTAATAATTCTTCATCATGAGTTTTTATTTACTCCCAATAGTAACTGTTGACATTCTTAAGAGCCACAGTTTGTATTTTTCTGCCTTTGAATAGTATTGTGTGCGAGTGGTCAGTCTCTCAAACCCAGTTTCCCCTGTGTGATAGAGTCATATAGCCCTTTTCACCATGAAGCACGCTGGCCTGGTTTATCAATAACCAGGCTCTCACAGCTTTTGTTTCTCTTGTTTTAGGAGTTATCTCAAGATTCATTTGGGTCTCAGGCATCCTCAGCCCCCTCAATGACCTCCAGTAAGGGAGGGCAAGAAGATATGAACCTGAGTCTTCAGTCAAGACCTTCAAGCTTGCCTGTGAGTATTTCTGCCAGCCTCTAAAAGTTGATGAGGGCAGAGAGAAAAGCAGCGAAGACCAGTTTCTTTCTGATTGGATATTTGGGTGGTATTTGAGCTAAATGAATGATGAACTATTCCTTAAATTCAAGCTCAGAATTCTGAATATGAATTGGTGGACTGACTTTATAGAATGTCTGTTTTGGTTTCCTGCCCAGGGAAGAATATATTTGTGATCTCTATTCAGAGATCTCAACATTGTTTAAATGGTTTTTGTTGTTGTTGTTTGTTACATCTTGGGCTCTTGGGCACAGACGCAACTGAGGGATAGAGAAGATGGAAATGATAGAAGCACTGTCTGCTCTCCATCAAAGCTGAGAAAAAGCTCAGTGTTTTTTGCTTTTTTCTATATCTTACTTTTGAAGGCTAAATTTTTAAGTATTTGTCTTAACTTTTAGTTAGGCAGTAGAATCTGGAGTGCGTTCAGCATGGATTGTCACGTTTGAGTATGGAGGAGTAAAAGCAGATTTTCTAGTTGTTTTATGTGAATAGGTGCTTGATGCAGTGTTTATAGAATGGATGGACAGTATCCTGAAAAAGACAGTATGGTCTGCTGATGAAGAGCTTGGGCTCTTGAGCCCTGGATCTGCATTTTGACTCTGCCACTAACTGTAGCCTTGAGCAAGTCACTTAATCTGTCCATGTCTTAGCTTTTGCATCTGTAAAATGAAACTAAAAGTACACACTTCATAGAGAGGTTAATATTAAATTAGTATAAAGAGAGTGTTGGTGCTTGTAGGCCCTCCATAAACATTGGCTCTAATGACCATCATCTTGAAGGAACTATACTCGATACTCAAAGGCAGGCACACCAACTGTTTAATAGTAGGCTGGTCCCGGGAGCATTTACCCTTGGGTCTTAGCTCTGTCACGACATGTTGGCAAGTCCCTCAGTCTGGGCACAGGAATAAAATGGACTGTCCTGAGAAGATTGTTGGTAGCAAACCTTTCCTTACAAATCTGGCTTCAGTTAGGAAATGGAAATTCAGCCACAGGTAAGAATAAGATTCTTTTGAAATTCTTATTCTACTTGGATTTGAAGCTTGTCTCTTCCCTTACTCTGACTTGTAAGAAAATGGTTTTCTGGATATTTAAGGTAGGAGATGGAAACTCACTTTATCATGAAGGCCCCATGGCTTCCCCTGAAGATCTCTAAGCCGTAACCTTGGGAGGACAAATTCTGTGGAGTCCCTCACCACCTGTAATTCAGGCATCCGAGGCCAGGATGAATTGCCATTGTCAGCTAGGACTTCTAAGACTGTTGACTGTTTCAGCTGAGGGATTGGGGGAGGAAGTGTCTGAATAAGGCAATCACTCTTGTTCCCTTCTCATTGACGTCTGTTGCAATCCTGTTCTGCATCCTGAACTTCACTGGAATGTGCTTTTTAATCTGATTCAGTCAGAACTGTATAACCACTCCCTCATCACCTATCATCTGTGGCTAAATCCGGGTGAGGTAGTACTGCAGCAAGAACTCAAATCGGTAGATTTCTGCCCATGCTGTAAGTTGTGCTTCATCAGAAAGTTTCTGCTTATTTCTGGTGCCATTTTGGTTGAACTGCATCTGGTAGTTTTTAGTGCTGAGAAACCTAGCATACAAACACGTTGTCTGTTAAGACTTGAGAACCTTACACTCTTGAATCCAAGAGCTTGATTTGAAGTGAAGACACCAGTAGCCTGTAGCCTCTTGGACCCAGGAGAGAGTTGTTCCTGGGTAGCCCATCACAAGGAGCATTCCCAAGTTCAGGCCTCTGCCCTTGGCTCATCCAAACAGGTCGTCTGTTCTGTAGTAGTAGAATCTCCACGTGGGAGGTGAACTGGCCGGGTTATTGGCATCTTATTTGTTGAATTGCTTTTTATCCCTCTGCTACTTAGACAAAGAAACAAAAGGTGGTTTATTCTTTGAAATTTATTCTGGTTTGATGCCAGATTTGCCTAGCCAGGCTGGGGAAATAGTCACATCTGAAGAAAGGAGAAGGCGGGATTTCCTGCAAGGAGCCCGCGCCTATCTCAAGCAGCTGTGTTAAGGGGTCCCTGGGTTCGCCATGTAGCCCTCCACTCGGCTCGTGTTTGTGCTCGACTCCAGAGCAAATGCTCTGCTGACTGCAGGGCAGCCCCTTCAGTTTCGCACATCCCTCTTTCCACTCAGCACCCTTCCAGCTTAACCCTAGAGGCGTTATGATTGTGACCCTTGATTGAAAGACTCAGTATGGTTTCTGATCCTGATTATTACAAAAATTAGATTTTGAGGAGTTTTTGCTCAGCTATTTTTTTTGTTTTGTTTTTTGTTTGTTTTTTGGCTCAGCTATTAACGCCAAACCATTTAGTTACTATTATCCTTTATTCCTCTATTTAAAACCTCTCAATTATTTTTGATTAAGAAGAAAATCCAAAATCCTTAATATTACCAAGGCTATCCCCACCTCCCCAACTCTCCACCTCTTTCTGATTTAAGTCTGGAGTGAGACCTGAGAATTTGCATTTCTAACAAATTCTTGATGCTGCTGATGCTGCTAGACCAAGAATGGCACTCTGAGAACCTTTGTGTGTATGCTTAGTCACTCAGCCGTGTCCGACACTTTGCGACCCCCATGGACTGTAGCCCGCCAGGCTTCTCTGTGTAAGGGGATTCTCCAAGCAAGAATACTGGAGTGGGTTGCCTTGCCCACCTCCAAGGTATCTTCCCAACCCAGGGATCGAACCCAGGTCTCCTGCATTACAGGCGGATTCTTTACTGTCTGAGCCCCAGGGAAGACCCTGAGAACCTCTGCTTCATCCTTTTTGCTTTCTGCCTTCTCTCAGTTTCTATAGGGCCCCATGCCTTTTCTGCTTCCAGTTCTTGCTCACAGTCTTCTTTTTGCCTAAGGTACTTTTCCTTTTGACTTTTTTTGTTTATATTTCAGGCTACATCTTCAGAATCATTTCCTCAGAAAACCCCTTAAGCTTCAAAATTCAGCTTAAATGATTTTTATGTTGCCTTCACTGACTAAAGGCAGATTTTATTTTTACTTTTTAAAAAGCCTGCAATATTTAAGATGTATGAAAAGGTATAAAGAATGATGAGGTTCCTGAGCCAAGCCTTGCTGCCACAGGTAAAAGCACCTTATATATCCATTAGGATCACTTCCCCATCCTTGTGCCCAGAGAAGCATTATGCTGAATCTGAGGGTTTTTTGCTCCATGTTGCTAGAGCATTTTGCTAATACCTCTGGGTTGTTGGGTCTTTCCCACTAGATAGAAAGCTCCTGGAGGGCAGGCATTGTCTTACTGTCTTCTGTTCCCCAAACTGTGTCTCATTATACCCGAGACCAGTGGTTCTCTACATTGCCTGCATGTTAGAATTACCTGGGGAGCACATGATTTTTAAAACCAGTGGCCAGGGTTCACAGAATTCTGATTTGTTTGGTATGGGGTAAGGCTTGGGCTTTGGCATACTAGAAGCTATGCTGGGTGAGTCTGGTTTACAGCCCTGGTAGAGATGCTCTCTAGTCCAAATTATGTCAGGTTCCTTTACTACAATAGACCGTCTCAGCACCCATGCTTCTTGTCAGTGCTTGTGTCAAGGGTAATTTCTGTTACTTATTTCAAGCTCACTGAGGGTCAGACTTGCTCTGTCTTGCTCATTGCTGTCCTAGTGCTTGTCATAGAATAGGTTCCAACTGATTGAAGAGGTACACCTGAGCAGATTCATTGCTCATCCAAAAAGTGTATGACTGACAGGGTACAACTTGACCATATTGCCAAATTGTTGTTTTCCCTGCTAGTGCAGGACAGTTATTACAGGCTGTTACAGGACCACCCAAACTTCATTTTAGAGGGTGAATTAATTTATTTGTGCTTCCTGACAGTGGCTTTAGGAAGAAGTGGGATTAGGATTTGTCATTATCTTGTAAAATAGTCTCATTTCACCTTATGTTAAGAAGGTTCTTAGGACTTCCATGCTGTAGTCCAGGGGTCTAGAATCCACACTTCCATTGCAGGGGGCACAGGTTCAGTTGCTGGTCAGGGAAACTAAGATCCCACATGCCACACAGTGCAGCTCACCCCCCCACCCCCCAAAAAAAAGTTCTTGTAAGGGATAAGTGAGCAAATCTCTTGGTGTTTCATTAAGTCTTTCGTTTTCTTTATTTGGGGGCGAAATCTGTAAGGGACTCATCTGAAAATTGGTTTCTGACTTTTGATTATAGTCATTTCTGAGAATGACTTGGAATAGTTGCATCTTGAAAAGCTTCTATTTAAGTGATTCATTCAAGTGTATGTGGTTTCCTTAAGAGTAATGATGGCTTCCCGAGTTTTTCTTACTGAGGCACATTTGTAAATTTGCATGTTAGTCTTGCAAGTGTACCTGGAATAGAGTTTCCATTCAGTGGTGCAAAATGGATATGGGATTAAAAGCTTTGATTTGGGAGTTAGCTGTATTACTGCTTCTCAAACTTAGGCATGCATTAGGAATCTTCTGGAGATTAATTAAAACACAGATTACTGACATCCACCGAGAGAGATTGATTCAGTAGTTGTCAGGTAGAACCCAAGAATTTGCATTTCTAACAAGCTCTCAGGTGGTGCTGTAGTTCTTAAGACCATACTTGAATAGCAGTGAGCTTTGGTCATCCTTTGAAAAGGGAAGAAAAAACTACTGGACTGGGAAGCCACAGTGGCAACTTGGGTAATAGTGGTGTCTTATGCTATCGTTTGGCTCTTGATGATCTGGAGGGAAGACTGGGTTAAAAATGGGTGAAAGAAGAGAGACCTGGGAGAGACAGACTGCCTGCAGCTGGGACCCCTGCAGTTTATTGCTGGCTTTAGGGCACCTCTTGCGTTGCCAGCTCCACCCTGGGAACTCTTCGCTCTCTGGCACTCATCACTGGATCCCTTGTCCTTCCTCATTGCCTTTCTGTCGGTCTCCCATTCTCTCTCACCTGGTGACAGAGTCCTGAGCTGTTTCTTTTCCTTCCAAGTCC